GTTTTTGGAGAAAATGTTTTTTTGACCTTTGACCCCGGAAGTGATGTTCTTTTGATCCGACCTCACACTCTCCCCTCAACCAAGTCCCAACCTCAAGACTGCTTCAAAACCATGTTTCATGAAGTTTTGAACAATTCCAGAAAAATAGCCATTTAACCCTTTCACGGGCGAATTTTGATTAGTGAGCTTTTGTCAATTTTTTCGCCATATACAGACAGCTTTAAGCGAGATTAGCATGCACGAGGACCAGAGCAACAACACTGTACTGGGTCATGTATCTTACGCGTCTTTATATTGATGACTATGAGTATGCATATATAGAAATTTTAGAGAAGCGAGAAGAATACATAAGTCTGTTTTTTTTTCCATACGTGGGACTTTTATTTTACTCGTAAAATAAAAGTGAGTGTATCAGACTTAAATAGAAAAAAATTTGCAAGATTTCAAGGAGCAGTAATAAATTAATTCGTTAAGGAATGAAAAAGGTGTTATGTGAGAAAAAAGGTTTGTATAAATCTAAAGAAAAAAAATAGGACTAGCAAGTAAAGTATGACTGCCAAATCAAATTTATTGATTTTCTTTTGAATATAATTAAAGTTCTACTTTGTATGAAACAAGGAGAAACAATTTCTTTTATTTGAGACGCATAAAGCCACTTTGCATGTTGAACATTCTATTGAAGACCGTTGCTGACTATTTTTTGTGCTGCAATAAGCACATCTTCTTCGAGACGTAAAAGTCGGCAGATGGACACCAACATTGCAAAATCGGACATCGTGAGAAATCGATATTTTCCTTTCACCTTGCTTGCGCCTTTTTACACCAAAGTTAGTGACAGGTCGACGTTTTCTCTTGTTAGTTGAAAGATTGAGATCAATCAGTTGTTCAGAAATATTGACTAGAAATTGCAGGTATGTCATGCTATCATGTGAATGGTCTTGGTGATAGATGACAAAAGCGTTTGATAATGCAACATTGAGGAAAAAGAAAAATATTCGAATCCAACTTCTGTTTGATTTTCTGTCAACAGCATAATAACCAATTCTTTGATCAGCTCGATCTACTCCCACCTTTCCATAATTGTAGTCCTGGATCAATACTGGACAATCTAAATGAATCACTTGCCCATTTTTTACTTTACGCGTAATTTTTGTTGTCTTTGTTGGATCACCGAAACTGGACAACATGTAAATCGACTTTCGATCCATCCACCTAACCACTGAAATAGGACCTTTTGCTAAAAATCGGACATCACCACGGTTCATTTTGAAATCACGAGTAATTTCAACCGGCACACCTTTCCTCGTTTTTCTAAGAGTACCAGTGCTGTATATTCCATCATGCAAAAGCCGTTCAACAAGGGATGGTGATGTGAAAAAATTGTCGAAATAAACATGATGAAATTTTCTTGAAAGTCCTCTAGTCAACGACCAAACAACATGTTCACCTAAAGGCATTTGCCTTTCTGCAGATTTGCCGGTATAAATCTCAAAATTATAGATATAACCGGTTGATGCATCAGCAAGCGCCCAAACTTTATATCCACGCTTAACTGGTTTGTCTTTTATATATTGTTTAAATGCACACCTGCCCTTGAATTTTATCATCATCTCATCAATTGTTAGTTTTTCTCCCAAATCAAAATGTGTTTGGAAATTTTGTAACAATAAGTTGAGAAAATCGGCTACTTTGTATAGTTTGTCGCATTCTTTCCGTTTTGTTGCTTGAGAATTGTCCACTAGATGTAAATTTCCCAAAATTCTTTTGAAATTCTTACACGACATTGATGTTGAAATTTTTTCATTTCGAAGTGAAGCGTTTGTGGACCAGTAAGAATCAATTGAAGGGTTTCTGCAATATCCCATAATGATGTTGATACCAAGAAACTGTTCTAATTGAACTTTTGTAATATCAATCAAATCCTTCATACTTCCCGCTTTTTGATATTTTTGCTTTCCATAAATGTTTGTTTGCTCCAAAATGAGATTGAGCACTCTATCACAAAATACTCTTCTAAACGTTTGAAGAGGCGATGTTGGTACAACATCAGAACGCTTTTTTGATGGATGAAATTGTTGTGCGGAAGAACGATGAAAATCTGAAGTCCACGAAGAGCGAAATACTGATTGAGTAGATGATGATGGACTATTTTTATCTTCATAATCATCTTCAAAATCATTTTCAGAATCATATGTAGATTCATTTCCATCGCTATCAGAATCTTGTTGAGAATCATTGTCACTACCGGCAGAATCATCTTCATCATCTTCAAAACTATCTTCACCACCTGAAAAATCATCTTCTTCACCTTCCGAGCTATCATCACCAGTTTCAAAACCATCTTCATCACGATCTTCACACTTTTCTTCATAATCAACATACATATCTTCTGATGCATTCTCTTCAGGTTCAGTCAACGTCGCCATCGCATTCGGAGAACGATTCATCTATCAAAACGTAATCGAAAATTGTGCTGAAAAAATGTTTTGGTTCTATTGAATTCTAAGACTGGTTATACACTGTGTTACTTCAAGTTATAGAATGACAATTTTCTGCAATCGATCTGCCTTATATACCTATATAGAACTAGATAGAACAGTTTGTAAAACACGAATAACTTCTAACAAAATGTCATTCTATAAAATTCTGGAATTTTCCGACAAATCCAGTGTATAATTGTTAAAGAACAGCGCAACATAGATCACATTCTCTATGTATATACATGTACACATATACATGTTCTCCTTTTTTTCTTTTCTTTGAAATAGATATATTTGCCGTAAACATACGATTTTTCTTTTTTTCCTTTCCATGAGAGCGTTCCAAGTTTTCGTATTCTTTCTTATTCTATGTTTTCTTTATTGACTGTCCTGTTGGGAAGAACTTATGACATTATTTTTCATTATCTAATTGCAATTTAACACCGAATAGTCAGTAGTCATTTCTGTCTGTGCTGGATGAGTATGCACTGTCTACTAGAGTCATCATTCGTAATTTATTGTAGTGCTGTAACGAAAAACAAAAAGTGGTACATATATGTACCACCGCCCGTGAAAGGGTTAATGTCGTTTACGTAAATGTAACAAAAACTATTCCATACCGATGAGGACTTTGGTGTTATTGTCGGTTTTACAATTTTCACTGATGAATTCTCCTTATCAATCACTTCTTGAATTTCTTTTTTGCTTAACATAATGTTCTTGTGATTGAAATCAAAACAGAAGATTTATTTGTGTCTTAATCTTAACAAGCATAAAATGGATTGGTATNTCCTTATCAATCAATTCTTGAATTTCTTTTTTGCTTAACATAATGTTCTTGTGATTGAAATCAAAACAGAAGATTTATTTGTGTCTTAATCTTAACAAGCATAAAATGGATTGGTATTAATGCGGCAATAGTAATGATGATACAATGCAGTATGAACAGAATAGATATGAACGATTCGAAATAGTGGTGTACATTGTACAGACTTTTCTGCTAGTAACCAATTAAAACTAGACACGAATTTGTTTCTTTCCATTTCCATACATAAAGAGGGTGCTATATATTGGTAAAAAAATCCGGGTCTGGATCCGTCCGGGTCCGGGTCGGGTCTGGGTTATGATTTTTTTTATTTTCGCGGGTCCGGGCCCGGGCCTGGGTCGAAAAAAAGGCGGACCCGCTACTCCCTAGTCTACAGTATTCAGATAATACAAGCAGCAGCGACGATGACGATGACTCATCAGAGACTGATTCCGACGATGATTAATTTTCTATATTTGTCATACGCACTTCCTTATACTGATCTTGCTCTTCCTATTTCTCAAATAAATAACTTATATACATCTTCTGACTGTTTTTACGTTACTTCTCATAATTAACGATTTTAAGCAATTTGATTAGATTTTTTAAGAATTAGAAAGTATACCATTTTGTAGCGCGTGAAAAATCCTATCGATCTGTATATAGGAAACCCCGTCATCAAGTGTTTTTGTGTACCGTTAAAAGAGAAATCCCTATGATATACCTCGTAATATTCACATGGACACTATTCCACCATCATAACTTCGCCCTATATACACTTTTTCAAGGTGGTTCACATATGATTTTGTGCAGAATTGTCTGCTCTTTCTAATAGAACTATTTGGTAGATGATATGAAAGAATTTTTGTTATGAGATCTTTGAAAAAACGCTGCCATAATAGGGTGAAAATACCAAGTGATATTGTCCATCGGAAACCTTTTATACGGTTCCCAATTGACTGGAATTTGGCGTAGAAAGATTCTCCATCTCATTCTGCATCGTTTTTGGTATTTGCCAAGTTGATTTTGAAATGGGCCGATTTACGGTCTTATACGCCCCCGTCCTTTATATTGGTTCAAAGACTGAATATGAAAAGAAAACGGTCAACTATTTCTCTGATGCAAATGCTTTTATTGAATTAAGAGAGAATCCATTCAATGAAATTATGATCGAAGTTACCAATTTACTGAAAACGTCCGCCAAAGATAAAATCATCTGCCAATGGCAAGAAAGAGATATGATGCCTAATCTAAAGACATCGGAACTATCTCATTTATATTTTAATCCAAAAACACATAAGGTACATATATTCTTAGAGAGATGAAAAGTAGAAAACATCCAATATAATTCTTATTCTAATTTTAATTATTTTATTTGATTAGGATGGTATTCCTGTTCGGCCTATCGAAAATACAATACATTCTGCAACAAAAAACATTTCGACATTTTTAGATCAACGTATACGACCCATATTCAATGATAAATGCAGCATAACAATCATTATTGATGGTGATCAGTTAATCAAACAATTACGCATATATGNCCTATAACCAAACCAAATTCGGAGTGGATGTAATGGATCAATGTATAAATAATTATACAGTTCGTAGAATTAGTAGAAGATGGCCTATGATTGTATTTTTCAATTTAATCGATATTGCCGCGATCAATGCAATGACTTTATGGTTGCACATAAATCCAAATTGGCATAATCATCAAACAAATATTCGACGTCTTTTCTTGGAAGATCTTGGAAAATCATTAACACATGCACACAATACACGTCGTAGTGAACAATCTGGCCATACATTACAAGTAAAGCTTGCATTACAATCTCTTGGCTTTGTATTAAAATCGAAGTTATCAACAAGTGAAGTACATTTGGGAAATTCGGCCAAAGGAAAACGACGGTGTTATATGTGTCCATCGCATCCTGGTCGTAAAGTACAACAAGTTTGTGATATTTGTAGGAAAAACGTCTGCAGATCTCATTCATCTAGTTTTACTAGTATTGTATGTCACTCATGTACACAAAATAATTGAGAGTGAAAATTGAGTAACATCACTTTACAAGTGGAACTAAATATTTTTAGCATGATATTAGTATTAGTATTTTTTTTTATCGATTATAAAGAATAAAAGAAGGCGTTTTTGGTTTTAATACTCGAGATCATACATAAATTATATATATTCAAGTATATTTACTATTCATACTGAAATCATATACATTATTCATTTAAAAGCATTTTACAATCATAACCTTATCCTAGTTTTTTTTTGAAAACGTTTTTTTGAACATATCCGTCGTTTTTATACATTACAAACACACTAAAATATTTGTCCTTTAATAAAAACCACGGCATAGGGCATGATATATCGTTTCTATTGCATAATTGATGAAAAATCAAGTTTATTTGGTCTATTTTTATGTGGGTCCTTCCAGACCCCCATATACCGTTTGTGTGATAAAATGAGGATACCGTTCGAGGGTTAATATTATTTTGACAATGGATACAAATGATCTTAATCAAAACGATGATCATCCGACGGATTCAAATCAACAACAAGAAGAGCAACGTACAAAGAAATGTCACGGTAATCGAAAAGACCAACGTTTTAGAAAAAAATGTCGTGCACGACAAATGAAACCAGAAACGATAGAAAAATTACTAAAGAATCGAAAACAATTCAATATGAAAACAGAGATGAAGAAGAAAAAGAAGCAGCAGCAGCAGAAGAAACAGAAGAAAAACGAAAAATATAACAGTACAAACAACAACAGCCGTAACAACAGAGTGCCGGATACAACAACAGATCGAAAGAAGGATGTATTAAATTTGACAACAATGACAAATTCAAACAAACGCAAACGAGATGCATCCATACAAACATTAACATCAAATTCCGTACCACTAAAGTCAACAAGCTCAATCTCTATTACACAACCACCACCAAAAAAGATGATGACGAACGAAAATAAACCAGTGATCGATCGATCTATGCCAGTAACAGATGATCATATGGATATCAATTATCGGTTTGTTTCTATATGTCTCCATAATTATTAGAGAATATATACATGTATATTTTATTGTATATTATAGACGGCCTAGATATTTGAAACGGCCATCATCAACGCTTTTTCAAATGTTAAATAAACGATTAAATTATACATTAAACAAAAAAATAGAACAAAGATTTATTTATACACGGCTTGAACTATTAGATCAACACTGTTATTTAGATACAAATTTACAACTATGGCAGTCATATTTAGATATTGGCTTACCACAAAATCAATGGCCAGTAAGTTTTTTTCTTTTTTATTTCCTCATATGATAGAACATTTTTTGATATTTATCTTTTTAATCATTACCAAAAGGAGCAGCTCCATCAAATAACAATATCACACGACTCCGAAATATGTCAACAATATCTAATCAATTATATTAATGATATAAAAACGCATATGAATCAGTGTCAAATAAAATTAACTGAACAATCGAAATTATGTCCAATAGCAAAATTAACATTGGATCAACTTGATTCTTATTTAAACGAATTTGTTAATTGCCAACGAAAATATTTAAAAAAAAGAAACAATGACCAATTAAATAAATTCAGAGATAAAATCAAAGAAAAAGAATTATATACAAATCTAACTACCAGCTTTACAACGACGGATTTGGTTAGTATATAGTTCTTTTTCCTTAAACAAAAATATTTCTCTTTATACTTCTTATTCCTTATATTCATTTATTTAGAATAAATTCATTGATCAATGTATGACCATACGACAAAAACAAATAGAAATATGGGAAGAACAATTTATGTTAGAAACACGTATCTTATGTAAATTCTTACCACAAAATTTCGATAATTTACAAAATTTTACTTCATCGATTATTTATACACCACTGAATAATGAACAAAAAGTGATTGACTTGAAAAATAAACATTATAAAATAATACAACAAGCAAAACGAAATTGGTTAGATATTTTCTTTTCCATTTATGAAATTAAATTGCAACAATACGATGAACAATATCAAGAAATATTAATACAAATAAAATCCTTCATAACGACAAAGAATACAGTTATAATTGATAGTCAAACACTGTTGAATCAAATTAATCAATGTATAACATATCGAACAGATCAATTAAAACAACAAATCCATGATAGAATGGCAAGTTTTCGAGGATAAATATTACACTATCGTCAAGGTTCACCCAACAGAAAGAATATGATAGGTGTGTCACCGGAACCATATCTTGATTTAATTTTAAATCCATTTAATAAACGTGAATGGGATTATCTTTCACTTGGTAAGATCATTTTCTATTGTCAAATTTATTTCAAAATATATATGTACACTTCTTTTCTCATTATTTCTTATTAGGTCCGTCGTATATTCGATTAAATCAAAGTGCCATTCGTCCAGTTAAACAACAAAAAGTTCAAATAAAAAGTCAGCTTAAAGATATTTATAATAAAGTCGAAAATTATCTTGTTAAAAAACAACGTATGCCAAAAACAGCACGCATTTTGAAACAATATTCGGATCATCTTGACGATTATTTCAATCAGTCATATTTTGCACCAATATGCTATAAAGATCAAATTCAAGCACAAGAACAAGCATATACTGCAAAATCAATTCGTAATAAAATTCAGAAACATAAACTTATTCTTCGGGTTACTGACAAGAGTAATAATTTTTATATTGGTTCAAAAACTGAATATGAAAAGAAAACGGTCAACTATTTCTCTGATACAAATGCTTTTATTGAATTAAGAGAGAATCCATTCAATGAAATTATGATCGAAGTTACCAATTTACTGAAAACATCCGCCAAAGATAAAATCATCTGCCAATGGCAAGAAAGAGATATGATGCCTAATCTAACGACATCGGAACTATCTCATTTATATTTTAATCCAAAAACACATAAGGTACATATATTCTTAGAGACGTGAAAAGTAGAAAACATCCAATATAATTCTTATTCTAATTTTAATTATTTTATTTGATTAGGATGGTATTCCTGTTCGGCCTATCGAAAATACAATACATTCTGCAACAAAAAACATTTCGACATTTTTAGATCAACGTATACGACCCATATTCAATGATAAATGCAGCATAACAATCATTATTGATGGTGATCAGTTAATCAAACAATTACGCATATATGAAATGAACGGTCTCCTTAAATCAACGACACTTTTTTGTACATTTGATATTCACAATTTATATACGATTTTACCACAAGATGAAGCACTTGATACTCTAATTGAATTTCCTTCTACGTATGGTTATACAAGGGTTATAGGAATTGCTCTTGATGCTCTTAGGAAATTATCATCCGTTGTATTAAAAGAGAATGTTTTTGTCTACGGTAGAAAAATTTATCGACAAATTCTTGGTGGTGCTATGGGTTCAGCATTGACATTAACATTAGCAAATATTTTCATGTGGAAATGGCAACAAAAACTCGTTGAAGAACAACAACAATCTGGCGAATTTTATGGCCGGTAAATTTAAAGAAGATATCAAACAAATTAAAATTTATCTAAAATTTATTATTATAGATACATAGATGATGTTTTTATGACATGGAATAGATCAGAAGAAGAACTACGACAATTATTAAATGGTGCCAATGAATGGCATCCAAATATTAAATTAGATTATCAAATCGGTAAAAGTCTTCCATTTCTCAATGTTCTCGTAACTAATAATGATGGGATTTTAACTACATCAGTTTATCATAAGCCAGCAGCTGAACCATATGTCGTTCCTTATACTTCTGACCATCCACGTCATGTCTTTGGAAATATTATTCAAAGTGCCCTCAATCAAGCTATGAGATACTCATCTACATTTGAAAACTTTCAAAAAGAACAACGCTATATTAGACTTAAGCTTCTCTATAATGGGTAAGTCCAAATTATCTATAAGATAATTTTTATATTATTATTTTGAACTCTACAAACTTTTTTTAGTTATCCAAGCTCAATTATTGAGAAAGAATATCGTATGTTTTTTCTTGGACATATAAGTACAACGTCATTTTTATCATTACTTCAAAACGAAAGTCAATTTCATCTAATGCGTGATCATATAATGAATCTATCAACAATCGATGCTATACACCAAATTGACAATGAAATTCAACATTCAAACATCAATCAACAACAACAAGAATCAATATCAACAGTCGAAGAGAGACAGAAAAAGTATCAAGACAAAATAATTGTTCATTATACACATGAAAAACGATTTTCACCAACCAAACGAGATCTACATAAAAAATATACAGATATATTTCAAAATACACCAGCAATGAATGTTCGACTCATTGTCGGTAGTCGAAATCGCCGATCGGCACAGCATGATTTAATACGAAAAAGACCACCAAAGCGATTACTACAAAACAGACCTTCGAAAAGTAAGCCTTTCAACATTCTATCATAAAACAAACAAAAAAAAGACATTTTTCTTCCACCATACGCAACATTTTTAGTTTCATTCTCTAGAAAAACGAAAACAACAAAACCATGATCAAATCGAACAAAACGACAACAATTAATTAAACGTTACAATGAGTACAAACCAACAAGAAGTGTATCCAAATAATAAAAAACATAATTCCAACTTCTATTACAAAATGTACAAACAGGAAAATCCTCTATCCATCTTCTTCAAACAACGACTAATTTAATTTCACGATATAAACTACCGGTATAAATAGTGTCACAACAAAACCCACATTTAAACTAAAAAACAAAACAGACTTTCGCTTCCTATTACACCAACATCAGTTCTCTTTTTTTCATTATTCATTTTTCATTTATATCATTCAAACTTATATTCTACTCATATAATTACGATCTCCATTCCTAATTCAAATCCATAACTCTTCCATTTTCTACACTAGTGCTGATCAGTTTCGTTTCTTCTAGATTCCTCATAATTCTACTATCTAATTAAATCAAATTTTCCTTCAATGATCACCACAACCACAAAAAACCACCTCCTTCTATCCGGATTTCCAAACCAAACTCCTTTCTCAACAGACCTGACTATTTCAGCACCTCTCTCAACACAAAGCGAGTCTAAACTTCGGCATCTTATAAAATCATTCACCTCCCCGTCTATTTTTATTTACAACTCTATATAATTCAAACCTCTACCGTACAAACTAGAATACAATACCTCCAACATGACCCGTAAATTCATATATTCAACAGCAAATTTGCACACGAGACAAAATAGACCAATATCTTTGTTTTGGATTCTTTTGAATTCAGAATAGACAAGCCATTCGTAAATCGTCTTAGCAGACGTGAAACTAGTCATGGCAGCTGATCTCACCCCACACCCTCACCCACACCCTAAACTTCCGAAGATTTTCATATTCAAATACGAGTTCATCTTGATTTTCTTTTGCTTTTTTCGTCAAAAGAAAAAGATTTTAGAAATTAAAGAAAAAATTCGTCAAATGAGAAAAAAGTGAAGTGTTCCTTTTTTTGATCTTCATTGATTTTGGATTTTATTTTTATTTTAAAATCAAAAAATCTTTGTGTTTGCTATAAAATTAAATCAAATCTTGCGATTCGATGATTTCGCTTATCAGCAACATAAAGATTTCCCTTAACATCGAATGATAAACCACGAGGAAAAGACAACTGATTTAATTCTTCTCTTTCTTCATTTCCACCAACAACAATTTCACCTTCTTCTTTTCCTTCACACCAACGCATTATTCGATGATTATAACAATCTGCAACATAAATTTGACCAAAATCTTTAACAAGTATTCCCTGAGGATAATTCAATTGATTGAGCTTATTTCCTTTACCATTTCCACCAGCAACGACAACTCCTACTTTCACATCTTTTCTCCATTTCATTACACGATGATTCAAACGATCTGAAATATAAATTGATTGTTCATCATCAACAAAGATAAAAGAAGGATGATGCAATTGATAATGTTCATTTCCACATCCATTTCCACCAGCAACTAATGTTCCTTCTTTTTCTTTTGTTTCTTCGATTTTCCATCTTCTCACTTCATTCTTCAGTTCATTAGAAACATAAAGAAATCCAAATTTATCTTTTGCTATACCATAACACCAAATATCCTCAATGACAATTTCTTGTCGATTTTGATTGAACCAAGGAATAAATCGACTGATTCCTGAACTCTGATCAAACCACCATCGAATCACTCGTCGACTCCCTTGATCAGCAACGATCAATGAACGATTCTCTTCATCAACAATTACATCTGTTGGTCTATTCAATGAATATATTATTGTTTCCCAACCACTTCCACCTGCAATAATTTTTCCTTTCTCTTCATTTAATTTCCATTCAACAATTCGATGATTTCTCCAATCAGCTATAAAAATATTTTGTTTTTCACTAATAAAAATTCCTTGAGGATAACCGAGTTGATTTAATTCTCTTCCTTCTCCATGTCCTCTTGCNGTTGTTCTTTTTGAAAGTTTTCAAATGTAGATGAAAATCTAATAGCTTGATTAAGAGCACTTTGAATAATATTTTCAAAGACATGACGTGGATGATCCGAAGTATATGGTTCAGCTGCTCACTTATGATAAACTGATGTAGTTAAAATACCAGCAATGAATGTTCGACTCATTGTCGGTAGTCGAAATCGCCGATCGGCACAGTATGATTTAATACGAAAAAGACCACAAAAGCGATTACTACAAAACAGACCTTCCAAAAGTAAGTCTCTCAACATTCTATCGTAAAACAAAACAAAAACATTTTTCTTCCACCATATGCAACATTTTTTGCTTCATTCTCTAGAACAACGAAAACATCAAAACCATAATCAAATCGAACAAAACGACAACCATTAAACGTTACAATGAGTACAAACCTACCAGAAGTGTATCCAAATAATAAAAAACATAATTCCAACTTCTATTACAAAATGTACAAACAGGAAAATCATCTATCCATCTTCTTCAAACAACGACTAATTTAATTTCACGATATAAACTATCGGCACAAATAGTGTCACAATAAAACCCACATTCAAACGAAAAAACAAAAAAGAGTTTCGCTTCCTATTAGTCCAACATAAGCTCTCTTTTTTTCATTTTTCATTTATATCATTCAAACTTATATTGTACTCATCTAATTCCGATCTCATTTCCTAATTTAAATCCCCAACTTTTCCATTTTCTACAATAATACTCATCGGTTTCGTTTCTCCTAGATTCCTAATAATTATACTATCTAATTAAATCAAATTTTCCGTCAATCACGACCACAGCTACAAAAAACACCTCACTCTAAAAGTATCTCAAAACTAAATTCCTTTATCAACTGACCTCACTATTTCAGCACTACTATCCACACAAAATGAGTCTAAACCTCCGCATATTATAAAATCATTGCCCTCTCCGTCTATTCTTCTTTAGACGCCAATATAATTCAAATCTATATGATACAACAAACAAGAATACAATACCTCCAACATGCCCCGCAAATCCGTATATTCAACAGTAAATTTCCACAGGAAACATAGTGGATCAGTATCTTTGTTTTGGATTCTTTTGAATTCAGAATAGACAAGCCATTCGTAAATCGTCTTAGCAGACGTGAAACTAGTCACGGCAGCTGATCTCACATCCTCACACGTCCACACCCTCACCCTGCTAGAATTCGAATTATCATTATAATTTCGATAGAAATTGCTTATTTAAGCTTTTTCACTTGAAATTATAACAGAATAGTTCAATTTTGCTTTGATTTTGTTTGAAATGGACTTTTTTTTTGAAAAATGTTTATTTTGAATTAAATCGAGTGAAATTAAGAGCCATCTGACGAGTCTTCCTGAGCAGAAGATAAAACTAGTCATGGCAGCTCTACTCACACCCACCCTCACCCACCCTCAACAAAGAAGAAGAACTTTATTTAAACATTACTGACAACATTTACACCTAAAGCAAACAAGTTCTATAGTGAATGAGCGACGGTATCGACCGTAGACACTCTGATACGTCGTCGACGGATTTTGGGATAAAGTTTTGAGAAAAATTTTGGAATGGGACCACGCAAAAATCGAACAGTATTGGGCACCAGAATATTAAGCGCTGTGCTCAATCCACCGAGCGCGGCAATGATCGTTGTGACAATCGTGATGAAATTTTTGCGAACTCTTTCAGTGTAGAAACATTGAATAGGTTGACACTCTTTATAGTATGGCTTAAAGTGAGTTTCTACGTGCCAGTTCTCGACGAGTAGCTTACCTATGCAATCACCTATGGTCGCATTTAATGGAAAGCGGCTCATTGTTGCACGAGTAGCATCTAATGGTCGAGAACGTGGTGCGGTGATGTTCCATTGTATGAGACCCCAATTCGAAATTAGATGAGCTGCATAGATCGAATCAATACAATCTTGATTATAGTAACATTCGAACGTGGATTGCATGAGAGAATCGATTATAAAGCATCCCATGTACCAGCCAGGCACCAGCATGACGATATTGTTGTTGATAGCGAGTGGGGTTTGTTCAACGCAGGTCGCCTTTTTAGCACATTCGCATGTATTATTGTTGTACAACATTGGAGACATACTAACAAAGTAATTATTGAATTGTAAGTTGACGTTGGTCTTGTAAACGTTTAGTGTTTGTTCAAAACGCTTATTGATGATAATTAGATCCAATGCACGAGAAAATGAGGTGGCCGTGTCTAGAAACATAGAAATCAAATAATGTTCTATTTACTTTTCTTCGCATACAGGTCAATGTTCGCTTGCTGATAGAGAAGGGTTGATCCACGACTGAGAAAAGGGACTCAATCAACTGCTGAAAATACTAAAGTTGCAAGAAAAAAGATTTCCTTTGCGAGTATTTTGACGGCTCGGAGACTCTAGACTCTTCTGTCCCTTATTCGAGTGCTTCTGATGTATTTTAAAATCCGCATATTCAAAAGCAAACAGCTCAAAATGAATCTGCTATTCCAAGTTGTTTCAAGAGTTGATTTCACTCTAATCAATTGTACTCAAGTATTTACCACAAATATCAGAGATACCTGTTCGATGATAACTATTTGGAAACGCGTTGTATGAATTCAGATAGGAGGAAGTTGCACAACGGTTATTTTCTCATCAACAATTGTACTCACCATGTTCTAATGCACGAGTAAGGAGAGTTGTCTGAGAATCGAATACGGCTGGATCGAGAGCGGCTGCTGTTACGAACGATTGTTGACCAAATGTGCGTACAGCATCGTTCACAATGCTGGCTGTGAAATTGCACATTGCCTCCAAAAAGCGAAATCTAACTAAAATGCCCCAGCGCCAGTTGTTCTTGTCTGATGATATATTCAATATTTCAATAGCAGTCAAGAAGTTAAACCAGTGGTCGGATAGAAAGTCCGACGAGCAGAATTGATGAAACTTTGGTGCGAATGAAATCATCGAAGATCGCAAAATGGAGATCTGTTTACACGGACAGGACAAACTTTGTTTGCCAGCCGATTGAAGAGCCAGAAATGTGTCCAGGGTCGGTTGCTGAATAATTACCGTTTCTATGTTGTAGGTAAGCGAGGAGTAGAAAGTGAAAACGACGGTGAAGCTAAGTAATAGGACGAGATAGAGTCGAGTTGCCCATCGCCCTGTCTGCTCTTTGCACAAGTCGGATGACGGGGATGCGTAGAAGTTGAGTGCCATCAACTTTTTGTGCACCGTTCTCAAATAGTCTTTTAACATAGTGGTATCTTTTCTTGACTCCATTATCTCAAAAAGGAACAAAATATGTTAGTATCAATGAAGTAGACAAAGGACTTTTCCAAATATACACAGTCATTATACACTTCGTCTATCCTATCCAATTAGAATTCAGCATTCAATAAGCTAGCGGCGTAGCCAGAAATTTTTAAATGTTTATCAATTCATATATAAACACCAACATTACTAAATCTCATAGCATTGTATTAAAATGTATACAGTAGGATATTAAAAAGATATTCCAAGTCCAACTTTTTTAGTACGCACATGACTTTATTGAGTTTCTTGACTCTGAATGTCATGTGCTATGGACACCTCTTCAGTTCAAGTTTTGTCAAGTGCTTCAAGAAAACAGCCAAACTAGGGCGTCACTATCACCTATATTTGAGGCTGAGTAGTATTAAAAAATGCGAACAGCAAATTTTGTGGGATAGCATATAAGTCATGCTTACGAACACCCACAGAATTTCAAAATCTTCATTTTGACCTAAATACAGGCTGATTGCGTTGTTTTTAATGCTTTTCTCTTGAAGGTGAGGGTGAGGATGAGAACTATCAAGCTATCAGATGCATGAATATTACAGACAGTACTTATTTTTGATTTTCTCTTTCAATTAATGTTTTAATGATACTTTGAAAGGATGAAAAGATGAAAAACACTCGAAAAAACTTATATATATATATATATATAAAGTTTGCTTGGACCCGAATTCAATCAAGTTCTGACCCAGCATGAGGGCTTTACTGAGCACTTTTATCATTCTTTCCGATAAGGGACAACGAATCCAGAAGATGAGCGTTACCTGTGTAATATAGATGCTAAAAAGACATGAACGAAAAAAAGAATTTTTTTCTCTTTTATTTCTTAAATCTAAAACAAAGGGTTCGGTAATATCATCCAAAAGAGGGGACTGAATCCATTCACAGTCAAATGCTCTCTCTGCAAAGTCAGGCGAAACGATTTTTTATTGCAAACATTCGTTACCAATTAAAAGCGGCAGCTGAAATGAATAAAAACTGAGGAAAATGATAATCTGTTTTTCTTACTTCTTTCTCATAAATTATCTCCTCTCAGTCAGAAATGGATAGTTTCCAAGAAGATATCTCTTTCATCCACTTCTCCTTCTAACAAGAAGAAAAACCAGCTAAAAGATATCGACTAATTATCTTTTTACCAAAAGAACTATTTTCAAAGAGCTTAGGTCGAATGTGAAAGAGAAATGCGTGATGCATCTATCCATAGGCAAGGAGAAAATGAAAAGCAAACGAAGAAATATAGATCAGTTTGTCTTGTGGTTCTCACACTTGCTTTCAAGCAGAAATGGAAAAAGTCAGATGAATAGATGATTTTCAAAGAGAAATGAAAGCAAATGAAGGCATATGGATCAGTTTTCATTTTACTCCTGATAATTGCCTTCCAGAAGAGGCGAAAAAACTAAAAAATGCTAAACAAACGAAGAAATATAGATCAATTTTTCTTGTGGTTCTCACACTTGCTTTCAAGCGGAAATGAAAAAGGTCAGATGAATGAATGATTTTCAAAGAGAAATGGAAAGCAAATGAAGACATATGGATCAGTTTTTCTTTTGGTCCTGACAACTACTTTCCAGAGGAAGTGAAAAAAGTCGGAGATATCCAGCAAAATAAAGATATGCGTCAATTTCCCTTTTGGTTGACGGAAGTAAAGTTGGCAGTCGATTCGAATTTTTTTTGCCGATATTCGCTTGAGGACTTGTTTTGGGTCTCAAACTTACAGGGTCGATGCAGAATTTGATTCTCTATCGAATGATGTAAATTTCAATAGGGTCATCGATCAAAAACTAAGGATTTTACTTAAAACACTGATTGTCCAGCAATGCACATGAGAGAATATAGAATAACAAACTTCTGAAAATAGTTTATCTGATGGTATTTATTTAATATACAGTCATTTTCCGAAGTAACTAGGCAAAATGAATACATAATTTTGTTTTTGCTGGCGTTCATCTCTTTTAAGATCGATCACTGATAATTTTACATTTGGGGAATCTTTCGATACGCTCTTTCCAACGATGTATTTTTTGAACCATTTTGTTTATGCTGTCATCGAGACATTACAGATTTGCGGTGAGGAACTTTGTTATTCTTTATTTTTTACACTTCCGTAATAGGGACGACGATAGACTTTTTGTGCATATCAAACAATCAGGAAAGGTTTTTAACGGATGACTACGCCTAATTTCCACTTGCACTCGAAGAAGTAATCCGTAGAAAAACGGTAAAAACAGTCAATTATTGTGTTTCAAATCGATAAAGTCTGTTCTCATCGCTACGAGAGTTGAAAGAAAGCTTTTAAATAGAATTTCAGAGGAAAAGCGATTCTCCTATATTATGAGGGATGAAAATTAGCTGTAAACATCATTGACGTCAAACCAATCGACCTTTGGAGAGATGAACGCGAGCGGACAAAAAAAATACTGTACTTATTTTGCGTGATTATTTGGGAAAATGATAGCTTATTATAATAGATAGCATCAGATAAATTATTTTCAAAAGTTTGTTATTCTACATTCTCTCTTATTCTCTCTGTGTCCCTCTACTTTTACAACTCAAGTTGCATTCGTGTCTTTAACCCTTTGAGTCCCAAATTATTTAATGCTAAGATGAATCCAAGTAAATTTTTAAACTAATGTATACTAAGTATAGAGTGTGTGATATAAAGAATTTTCGTAGACATGCTCACAGTTCACTTCGATTAGGTGCATTGGAATTGTCGAGTGTATATAGATATTTTAGTTGTTGTATTTATTTTCTATCACACTTGAGCAAATCTTGCATAGAATAACTAAAAACAAGCTTTTTTCGTATTACACAAAGAGAGGGACTGTAAAAATTCCATTTTCTGCTGCTGAACTTTGAAGAATTGATTGTGCTACAGTACTTCCATTTTCCTCTAGATCCAGCAACAGGTATATTGTGTACTGATAACTGATCTGTAGAATGTTCGTTGTGTTCTCTCGAAGACATTCAATAGGAGAAAAATGCTTTTCATGTGCATATGCTATGTGGAACGTACTCCTTTTGCCGCAGTTGTAACTTCGGTATACGGGAAAGAATGTTAAAGTTATGAGTTTGACAAAAAATTCTATCAAAGTTCCAACTTAGGCAAAAGGTTTAATTTCGACATGACATATACATGTATTTGAGCGATATTTACAGACATTCAAGACTTTCCTCAATACAACAGTATTTCTATTCATACACGGTCCGTGTGGGTTCTAGAACATTCTTTACGAATGGATATGAAAACACCGAAGAAATAAATATCGAAGCAGAAAATGTCGAAGAAAAAATAGCGATGCGCGTTTTATCGAAAGTAAAAAATATCGCCTGTGTATAATATCGAAGGTCGCAAAATTTTCTTCTACAATGATTTTCTGTTTTGCCGTTTTCGTTCATCCAGTCATTATGCCGTTTTTCGTCCATAGTTTATTCCCTCGATGAACTGTAATACTGAAGAATACAGAATATCGGTTAGAGAAAGAATACAGAGAAACAAAGAAGAATTTCAAGGTATTAATTCTTGATCATATATATATGCTTGCTCCTGAATGCGCCCAACATCATTTTCCATTTCAATTAAGTCTTCAGTCAGCATCATGTCCAACTGTATGAACACTTTGTCTTTCGTTAAATGCAATAAAGGTCATCGACAACTCGTTCGCAATGGTTCCATTTACAAGCTCAATCGACAGACATCTACAAAGATGTATTGGATTTGCAAACATCGAGGTTGCACCGCCACTGTTCATACTGATAAAACTGATAATTATCTTCAGTCAAACGGTGAACACAATCATTTAATCGAGCCAGAGGAACTCGAAGTTCAACGGTTTCGAATAGCTTTGAAGGATCGTGTTATCAATGAAACGGCCCCCATTCCAAAGATATTCGATGAAGAGATCGCTAAAACTCGATTTTCACCTGATGCACTTGCTAATGTTCCAATGTTTCGTGATATACGTAAGATTCCGTTTCTTATAGACTTCATACTTGTGTTACTTTTCTTATTTAGAACCCGGATTGAACCAAGCGAGAAGAAAACTAACACCTTCTCTTCCAAGATCGATTTCATTCGATATCCCTGATTCTTATCGAAGCACAGCTTGCGGAGAAAAATTTCTAGTTTNACTCTTGTCATTAGAACTATACAAAAGATGTTCAATGCATTATTCATGTATCCTAAACATCTAATTTCACAGCCTTACATCGCGTGATTGCTATCGATCCATTTTATGATTCGCGACAATTATCAATCAGCCTCATCTATCTCCACGCGCTATTCGTGACGTTTCTGTCATTTTTTGCCTTCAATCATGACACAGATAGATACCATTCAAACTACTTTTTCTCAAGAGACCATGTACACTGAAAAAAAAAGGTACTCTACCAAACCCATCAAAAAGGTTTCGTTAGTGTCGAAGAATGGATATGAAAACACCGAAGAAATAAATATCGAAACAGAAAATGTAGAAAAACATACGGTCGAAAAAGAGATCGAAGAGGAGAATATCGAAGGAAAATATGTCGAAGAAAAAATAGCGATGCGAGTTTTATCGAAAGTAAAAAATATCGCCTGTTTATAATATCGAAGATCGCAAAATTTTCTTCTACAATGATTTTCTGTTTTGCCGTTTTCATTCATCCAGTCATTATGCCGTTTTTCGTCCATAGTTTATTCCCTCGATGAACTGTAATACTGAAGAATACAGAATAGCGATTAGAGAAAGAATACAGAGAAACAAAGAAGAATTTCAAGGTATTAATTCTTGATCATATATATATGCTTGCTCCTGAATGCTACCTAACATCATTTTCCATTTCAATTAAATCTTCAGTCAGCATCATGTCCAACTGCATGAACACTTTGTCTTTCGTTAAATCCAATAAAGGTCATCGACAACTTGTTCGCAATGGTTACATTTACAAGCTCAATCGACAGACATCTACAAAGATGTATTGGATTTGCAAACATCAAGGTTGCACCGCCACTGTTCATATTGATAAAACTGATAATTATCTTCAGTCAAACGGTGAACACAATCATTTAATCGAATCAGAAGAACTCGAAGTTCAACGGTTTCGAATAGGTTTGAAGGATCGTGTTATCAATGAAACGGCCCCCATTCCAAAGATATTCGATGAAGAGATCGCTAAAGCTCGATTTTCATCTAATGCACTTGCTAATGTTCCAATGTTTCGTGATATACGTAAGATTCCGTTTCTTATAGACTTCATACTTGTGTTACTTTTCTTATTTAGAACCCGGATTGAACCAAGCGAGAAGAAAACTAACACCTTCTCTTCCAGGATCGATTTCATTCGATATCCCTGATTCTTATCGAAGCACAGCTTGCGGAGAAAAATTTCTAGTTTGCGATACGTTGGTCGTNCTAATGCACTTGCTAATGTTCCAATGTTTCGTGATATACGTAAGATTCCGTTTCTTATAGACTTCATACTTGTGTTACTTTTCTTATTTAGAACCCGGATTGAACCAAGCGAGAAGAAAACTAACACCTTCTCTTCCAGGATCGATTTCATTCGATATCCCTGATTCTTATCGAAGCACAGCTTGCGGAGAAAAATTTCTAGTTTGCGATACGTTGGTCGGTCGAAAGAAACGCTTGCTAATATTTGCTAGTCCAAAACAACTCGAATTATTATTCAACAGTTCTATCTTGTTCATGGATGGAACTTTTTCGTCAACGCCACCACATTTTGATCAAGTGTTTATAATGCATGTGCTGAAGTTTGAAAGCAGTAAGACAGCTCCAAAATTTCCGAATCAAGATTGAAACATTTTGGTCGTTTTAGGTCTGCCTTGCTGCTTTGGTCTTTTACCAGATCGAAAAAAATCCACCTATCAACAACTTTTTCAAGAATTAAAAGGTGTGGCTGTATCGATGAACCGAATTTGGAAACCCGAAAGAATTATCACGGACTTTGAGCCTAGTTTGATTTCCGCAATACCAGCTGAAGTAAATCAAATCCTACTGAGCATTTGGGTGGAAAACGTCTGTTTTTCTTTAGTTTCCCGATGCGATACATCAAGGATGTTTCTTCCACCACAATCAAGCACTCTATCAACGTATTCAGAGTTTGGGCTTAGCTACAGCTTATGCGGAAGATGATGAAATTCGAAGTTTCTGTCGTAAACTTATGGCGCTACCAATGCTACCACTTGATGTGGTCGAAACTTCCTTTTACCAGTTGCGAACGGCATTGAATAACCGACAAAAGGAAGAACTTCGTCAATTGTTCCTTTACTATAATGATTATTGGATGAATAAGGTCCCAATAAACATGTGGAACGTTCATGGCTGTCAGCACAGAACAAACAATGTCTGTGAGGGCAAGTATTTTCTTTACTGCTAGACTTTAGCCTACTATCTGTTCACCTAGGTTATCACAATAGATTGAACCGTCGTTTAGAACGGGCTCATGCGAATATCTGGACATTCATTCGATGCATAGCCAGTGAGGAAAGTCGTTTCCAACATTTCCTCATTCAACTTGAAACCGGTGCTCAACGACGAGCCAAAACGAATGCTACTGATGCTATTCAAAAACGAGTTGATGCTCTTAATGAACGGTATGAAAAACAAGAAATTGATGCGGAAAACTTATTATGTGGACTCGCTTTGTTGGTGGACAAAAAATAGGTCGACGCCGGTGAATATCTTTCTGAATTCACAGGTTTATACCGTGTTATTATCAACTTTTATTTCTATCATGGACCATGTCATTTTCTTTACATTAGATTGAATAAATTCTAATTTTTCCAATCAACTCCATCATTTTCTATTCTTTCGACATTTTTAATTTCGATTTCTTCTTCTATCGATGTTTTTTTTCGACGTATGTTATTCGATCTTTTATTCTCCGACATCGATTTTTCGACGTTAACCTCTTCGCTATTCATTTTTCAACATATTGTTTTCGATATATTCTTCTTCGACATAATTTCTTTCGGTATTTTCAATCATTACCTGATTTTCTACTATATGGTACGTTCGATGCCGTTGATGACGACTGATCACGAAATGTTTCACTGATTTCTCGTTTCGTTGACCTTTCTGTGGAAGACATTGNATCTTTTATTCTCCGACATCGATTTTTCGACGTTAACCTCTTCGCTATTCATTTTTCAACATATTGTTTTCGATATATTCTTCTTCGACATAATTTCTTTCGGTATTTTCAATCATTACCTCTTTCATACTCTTCATGTCCTTAATGCCCTGATGTCTTTCATACTCTTCATGTCTTTGATGTTCCGATGTTTTATGTGTTCTAGTGTCCATAGTGCCCTATTCTTCCTGGTGTCCTCACCCTTACTATATAAAGCGATGTTTTCTTCGGGGCCTATTCATTTATCACAACAGCTATCACCACTACCACTCTTCTACAACTTCGATTCAACCTAGGTACGTTTATGCTTTACTTAGGGCTCTTGTGTTTTGGACGCTACCCTTTCTATTCCCTAGGGATCTTATACAAACCAAATTAAGCATAACATTACAGTTCGAGTAGTGTCCTGGTTCTTTTTTCAAATCTTTAATTCTTCCTAATCGCTGGTTTTGAAATAGCCATCTATATCAAAATGCTATGAAGAAGGTATTGCCCAGTGGCGGTAGAAGTCCTTCTGGCCAGAGCGATCTGACTGAATACGGTCATCTTTCTGCCAAGGGAGTACATCTCTTCTTCTGACCTCTCTCTCTTATCTAAACACTCTTCACATCGCATAATTTTTCCAGCAATCGTGTTTCATGACCTATTTCTGTCACTATCATTACTTCTGAAATTAAAATATCATTAGCCTAATATACTTAACAAGAAAATACTCCATTTCTTCTGCGCAACACATACTTATTGCAACAGCATGATCTATTACATGCCTCACCGAAAACTTATAAGCTCTTAGTGACTCTTACATTTCACTTTTTCTATTATTTCCTCTTTTCCTTTAATAATACAGTTCCATTCTTACCTAATGAGTCCCTTAAGCAAGGACGAAACGCGTCATAGATAGTTTAGGAATATTTCTTCTTTCTTAAACTCACCCACACCCTCACACCCTTAAGATATCTCTGTGGATATATCTACTGAAATGTCTTGTACGCATTCGTGAACAGACGAAATGATTGCTTGACTTGAATTACTTTACATCGTCATTTGAAACACACCCACACCCACCCACAACATGTAACTAATATCAATAGGAATTACAATCACACTGCTCACGCGATTCAAACAACAATATTCAAGTTCTTGATAAATTATTGTGGTTGTGATGATTTAAAAATGTACAAAATAATTTACTGTTACACGCTATACGTGTTGATAATCGCT